TTATATAACGTTATACATCGTTATAGGCACCAGACAGAGAAGATGTATCATTTCATGTTGTAATCTTGCTGTTTCGACCTTATACCAATACATTCGTTCTCTGGTATAGACATCGCATACTACGCTTTATTGTATGATCTCGACAGCAGATCGATGTTGTTGAAGCTACATGATTGGGACATAAAAAATCTACAGCAATCTGCACGTTATTCTTTCGAACCCATCATCGCTATATACCACAGTAAAAATACCTGGTAAGATGTGGTATCTATAGATTATATTTTGGCTGGAAAACCAAATAATGCAAATATGACACACAGGTGTGTATACTTAGTATACCATATCATACCAACGATGGCACAGTTATACCAGTGATTCAACCGATAACGCCAAAAGCCAGCTGTTCGCCCCCAGAGAAATTGAAGCTCTCATCAGGTCCCGGATATGATCACCGATGTAGGATGTCGTTCACAATCATCTTTGTAAATATTTTTTATATAAACAACTAATGATATATGCTGTATCGTCTGTTGTTTAGCGTAGATGCGATTCCTTTGCTACACATTTCATATCGATTTTGGCAGATCAGTTTGCACATTGTCATATCCAAATAATTCGAGATATAAAACGAAAGAACAACATTTTGATTCGTTCCCTGTTCAGAAATTAACACGTCTGGATCAGTAATCTGCCAATTGAAATATCAGTCTTCCAGATTTTAGCTCTATATTTAAGACCCGATATCCTTAAAACTGGTAAATGATGTATAAACTCTGCACATGGTGATTGAGTAAATCATTGGTAACAAAATGTAAATACAAATGTAATTATATTTTACACTAGCATGTTGATGATTTGAATGTCTGTTAAGAGAACGTCAAAACTGAATATTGATGTTGCGATGTTTCGTGTATTGCATAAACTTTCATGTAGAGTGTATAAGCTAATAAAATAATGAAAACAATCCGTCCATATGATAAGCACCATTTACCAGTTTCACTACCAAAGCGATAAATTCACTTGATGTAAATATTTGTGTTTTATGTTATACAATTTCTTTAGAACTGATATACTGTTACATTATTACGCAACAAAGATTTCCGATAGTTTAACAGAGCATTGTTTTGTTTGTAGCAGCAATGACGTCAAAAGCAGATTGAACATTTCTCAACCTAAATGCCAATTTATAAACTACAGTCCCGTATGCTAGGAGACTACTTTAGAACATACAGTCTTAATTCTGTAATGTATCATGTTCCAGCGCGACTGTAAAAACCGGCAAGTAATCTTCGCCGAAATATTGCAGTCGAAATGTACCAGGTGTAGTCAGATTTCTTGCAACCGGAAGTCTGAAATTTGCTTTGAGATGATTAACCACATCAGATAAATTCAAAAGACTTTTTTTTGACGTTATGTTTAAATCCTACTTCAGTTATATTATTAATAAGATAAGTATCACGCGTAATGTTATATCTCACCTGTCCTGCTTTTTCAGTAAGGCAATTTTCAAGCAAACATTCGTGATTCATTTTGACTTGTTTTTGTTTTCATACGAGGCTGACTATATTGAAGAGCTTCTCAAAACAGGTCACAAAGAAATTGCAAAGTCTTTTAATTTCATCTTCGGATATATTAATGACGTCCTGTTGTTAAATAACAAGAAATTTATTGACTACGTCCAGAACTGGAAATCAAATATACTACAGACTCTTTTACATCAAGAGTACAAGAATTTTTCAACAGACGGACAACCTTGTAGCACAGGGTTTTAAAAGGTACAGGTTGACAAAAATTTGGGGAAGATTTACGTCCTTCACAATGATATTGAGGAATTTGCTATTTCTATGTGCGGTATGAATCTGGGTGCGTTTGATGCTCGTTAGCGTGCCTGTTGGTTCCTTTGTTGTATACTTTGTTCTCATTTGAGAACGTGACATTATTCACTTGGATTTACCACTGTTAAATAGGTAGTTGTCGATGAAACAGAAGCCGCTGATTATTCCTCAACACCTGGTCTTATTCTCTTTTGTGCCTTTGTCACCGTGTAAATTTTTGTTTTGTTCATCTTTTACTTTAGTTTTATTGACTTTATGATTATACTGGTATGTTGGTATTTTCTTGTTCCTTTTTAATAGTATCCTTAGTTTTTGGTGTTGGACCGTAAAATCGTGAATATATTTTGCAAATAATGGATGTCTTTAGGTGTCCACCATATGATCCAACTAAAAACCTAACTTGCTAATAGTTCTACTTCTACTTTTCATTTCCCTCATAATCTCGTTTTTAACAATTTGCCACAGGCAGGGCAAAAGCGAAAGAAACGCTGTTATTTGTCATTTGTTAGCTATTCGGAAGGAATATAGATATACATGTTAACTGCTATTATAAACAACGTCGTTCTGTCTCTGGTCATCTATTCGGTCGTTTCGTCATTTATTCAATATTTTTGCGTTAATAATTGATTCCTGTCCAACTTTTAGTCCTTTCGGTCTTTACATATTTCACTAGAAATTCGAACCCTGTTCGCCTCGGTGAAACACAAGGTCATTAATCGAAGCGATATTAGACAGTCCAAATTACATCCCATCATGACAGTAAAATACACTAACCTGACTCACCCATAATAACACAGTACACTTATTTCGCTCCGTAATAATACAATACACTGAGATATCTCCATAACACTAGTAGAACACTTATATGTCCAAATATTAACAGAACCAGTTTAACTAGAATGAAACACAATACATAAAGTCACAATTCTGAACAGGTGTCAGAAAAAATATCCAGAAATAACTCTCAAAGGAACATTGGAAGATTCTCTACAAAGCTTTTCAACACCATACAACACTATAACTTAACATTAAACACTTCATCTCTTCATTAACGAATTGTTCTTATTAAGTATTCCATCGAAAAGTATGCTTATATTTCACTGCAGTATAATGATTCTGGAATGAAAATTATATATACCAAAGCAAGTTTAACTGATCTTTAGTGTATTATATTTTTTATATAAAATCCTTGTTTAATATTGTATAAGAAACACAAAAGTAAAGGATATATTTAAATTACAAATTCAGAGCTGGATAGATCGAAACGTTAATCTCATCGCGTCACTGACGGATCTTAGAAAGACGAAACATCTGTATAATGCAGTTTAATTCAATATTTGTCTCTGTTGTATATAACTCTAAATTTACATTAAAATGTGATATTCAGCATTGTGTATCTTAAAAAGTCTTCAAAGTGACAGTACGTGTAAGAAATATATAAATCTAGACTAATGGGTGTGCTAGCCTAATAATTAAAACAAATGCAATTCTTGTATACTTGGTAGTTCTAATAACCTCGTATACTGGAAAGGTTTGAGATATATTAAATGTATGAAAAACTGATTATCACGTGTGTATCCTTGATCTCTAATGTGGAAAACTGCACCAGCACATGTAGCATTGACCAATACCCACCCCCCCTTTTTTTTTGTTTGCTTGTTTGTTTTGTGTTTTTGTTAATTAGTGCATTTTTACAAGATTAATTCAATAGTACGATTGTTGTCGCTGGTATATTCTCTATAGAATTAAGTCAAAGTCCGGGTATTAACTATTTCTTGTACATTACTGTTCAGTATAGCGTGTTTTATTAAGGTTTTCTCTTCTAACTGAACGTGTGTTCTTTTTCGTTCAGGTAAATAAGGAGTCATCTTAGCCTTTTGAAATGAACGGACAGATGGATAATCTGATGATAAATATTTACCTATAAAATTTAACGCTTACTTTTTCTATACACTTTAATTAAAGCTATGTTTAGTACATTGTTATATGAAGTAAAGTATGATGTTTCTTGAAAGTTCTACATAATATAAACAAATATAGTTATCAACATTACAATGAAATGTCATTGAAGTAATGAATTTCGAGTATTTTAAATAAATTTTGATAATGATGAATTATCAATTATAGCAAAACGACAAAAATGTATTTTAAAAGGTTCGTGTCTAGGAAAGCATGCATTCGAATTAGTATTTGTATTAATTATAAAGTATAGTTGAATTTAGTTTTATATCACAAATATGTTTGTTTCAGGAATAAATGACGAAACAAAACAAAAACAATGACTTGATATTCAAACTTTTCTAGAAGGAACATGACGTTGTCGCCAATGGAGTTCCACATACAGTGAAGGACAAACAGACCCATCGTAATGAAGGATATCTCGAGCATATAGAAAATCATAAAATCATCGTCTGAAGTAAGCCTACTTATATTACCAGTGACGTTATTACTAGCAGATAAGGTTAGCGTGTACATGATAAACCCAGAAAGATCCGTGTATCACAGATAACTACCTATATCTAACGAGATAGCACTACGGTTCGCCTTGTATGCAGCGAATGAATGGAATCCATCCGGTAAGCTCATAAGTGCTGTTTAACATAGTCTTATATTATGAAAGTGGCAAACCCACCTCATATAACGTCAAAGGAGAAAAAAACCAACTGATGTCGACTCGATTTCCTATTGGAGGACGCGTTTCAACTTTTACCCGTACCCTTTGACCTCTTTATTTTACCTACACCCATTCACTACAACTTTAGGAAGCTTGACAATGTTGTCTGTTCTTTTTATTGATATTTTTTGAGAAATGATTTTGAAAATAAGTTTTCATTAACTTTGTCGCATAGTAGAGGTATAAATGTATATGTAGTAGTGGGTTAGTGTATCAGTGCGCTGGGAGCTCGGAGAAGGTGTACAGGTACACTACAGGTGTATTATACACAATCTAAGCCCCACTAGTATAGTGTATAGCCAATACGGCAGTAGTATACCTTTACGTACGCTATTTGTACTGGGAGAGTTACCTGTGGTGTGTGGAAAACAAGATACCGTAGGCGCGGATAGCATTGCAGTGTAGCGAACGGCTAAGGGTATTACAGAGAGCACAACCTCAGTGTGAATCAAAACGACAGAATTTTGGACGTAAAAAGTGAATCGGATTGCAAGCCACCATATTCGTCTTCCAGTGTCCAAATTGGATGAATTCTATTTCATTTGTTGTATATGATATTGAGAAGATTTGAAAATGTAGCAGAGATTGCTAAAATGTGATTTTTATTTCGTTTTTGGATTTACGTTTTAGTGTGTGACAGAATGTGGCGTGTTTTTTGTGTGTAGAATTTGACTGGCCTAAACTGCTACCATGGTTACATCGTGGATCTACTCTCTTGTCGTTCTACCACTCATGTTAGAGGTACGTATTCTACAAAATTATATTCACTGAAATAACTTTACACGTTGAATTTATGAGCTTTAATATATTTCTAACTATCTCTGAAATGATTCATAACATATATTCATGTTCCTTTAAATTCATTATGCAGCCACCACAATAAATAATTTGCATCGGTGTTGATTCAGTATTGTTATTCAATACTGCTTCCTACTGTACACTGATGTGCCTAATGTATTCCTTTATAAAAAATGTGTAATTTTTTTAATAATATGTAGTGTGACGTCTGATGCAAAATAGCAATACACTTAATACAGGTGTGACTTCACAAGTGTTTGTACGAAGAGTACACCACAACGATACCGGTGTGTATATGATATTGAATCGATATTACCGATACCATGCAGATCGATCTAGAAAGTGTTTAAAGTAGACACAAAAATATAAACATGCTTTTTCCTCCATCTCCCTTGGTGTGTTAACTATATAAAAGGTTCATTTTCTTTTCTCTCTATTTTAATAACAATACCAGTATTTTTTTTTTTACTTCTGAAATTGACTACTTGGTTGCGTAATTTACATTTGCATAAATTCTACACTACAGACCACAAATAGATTTAATTCAAATACATCATGAATGGTCTGCATTTGTGTGAAAAAAAACTCTTTGCTCGGAATTTTAATTCGACATCGGAAACCATACATCTGTCGCGTAGTTTTATATCTACTTTCAAGAATTCAAGGAATATTTTAACTTAGCTAAGGGAAACAGTAAAATATATATGAATACTTTTATTAACGTCCTTCAATATCGATGTTTCAGTAAACGTTTTCCATCGGTAAACACTGAATTAGTTTTGATGCAGTTATTTTGATATTTATGATTCTAGAACAGGAACAAATGATAACATTGAATCACAATGCTTAATCACCAACACCTTAAATCAACTCCTATGTTTAATATGTAATATTTTCATCGCTAAATATCCAACTGCTTAGATCATGATTAGGTATACATAATGATACTAAATGTCGTCTGCTGGGTGCAGTGTCGACATCACTTTGTCAGGAAAACACGATCCTGTTGTATATTATCGTCTTGTATTTGAAAGACATGATAGATGAACAACAGTATGTCGACTGCTTCTATAAACATATCGATAGGAGATTGATGGCCTCACCCAAAGGGCGGGGATAACAAGGCAATTTTATTGAAAGTCATAAATTTTACACATTCTCATTTATGGTTCAGCTTTATCTTTGTCAGTTTTAGGCTACGAATACAAATAAGGTATTAAAGTGAGCCCCTGTGTTCAAGGTTGGCGATAAAAATCTACAGGATCCCATAGATAATCATAATATTGTTATTAGGAGATAAGAACGTTAAGTGCAGTTTCCGTCTTTTTGTGTGAATGTAGAACATGCTTATCATTACAGTGTATGTACCGCAGGAGTATTGTATAATGATGGCTTAGGGAATAATAATTCATTCGGTTTAAAAACGGTTCTATTTCGTACATCGCTCCTCCCCATAGATGTACATGTGACCCGATGTTGTACATTTGATAACATTAACAATAAGTAGTCATACGTATGGAATAATGTTATTTTATAGTAAATGTAAACATTATATTCAAGTTTTACAGTAATCAACATTTTTCATATCGGATTCTGAAAGCAACAGCGGCTCCACCCCAAGATATAGATAAATATGAATGTGTATATGAACATCATGTATGCGTATTCTGTATATAATCTGGTTATCCGGGCTCTAGGTAGTATGTAATCTTTATCATATCAGCCTCTACCATTTAATGTTAGCAGTGAATATGACAGGAACAGGATAAATAGCGTTCCTTCAGCTCATGAACCACTGATGCCATTTCCGATTGTACATCATTCAGTTAAACATCGCTGTAATGGTATTTTACTGGTCAAAAACAACATTTATCAGTCACTATTAATTAGTATTGGAGATAGAAAAAAGAGCAATTTTCAGCGGGAAACTTAAAACGAAAGAACTAAATGATAGAAATATATATATATATATATGTAGAGTAAAACAGTATACTTAATATTTGAAATAAGGAGTACAACAATAAAAGCAGATTTCTGATCAACATCAAACACTGGAAATCATTTTCACTGTGAAATTAACACCTGAATATTTTATTCAAGATACAGGGATAATACATGAATATACACGGTACAGCATTTTCCCCGTTTGGCACAGTGAACAGATAATTGATTAACTGATGGGTTAGAGGTACATAATTTAGATATGTGTTTGCTAATTGATATTCATTATATTGAATTTGTATCACTGAAACTATTGTGACTTATACACACGTGCTTTTTTAACACGTACTTCTTATATGCTGCAATCAGGCAAACCATTGAAAGTATCCATTAGCGTGCACTATGTTCTATACACGATAAAAGACACACTAGATATTAGCTTTCTGCAATTGCTTCATCTGCTAGGATCAACACGGTAAACATTAAACCCAATACAATTAAGTCTGACAGATGAAGTTCTACTAGAGCAGAACCAAGCATCCTGATGGAATTCTGAATTGTGCCTTTTTAAATTGAAGTAATGCACAGCGAGCCATATAGCGAGCATATGCTCTGCTTCACACGTTAAACGAATGTCATGTTTTGTTTCTGTGTGCGTTAAAAGGTGGCAACATACAGTATGTAGCTCAGTCGATTATCATGCACCCCCTGAGATTATATTTTTTGTCCTGTGAAATGGAAAAAAATATAACTCCAAGTAGTGCGAAAGCCAACGTAATTTCTCACCTAAAGTTGAAAACCTACATTTAGCCTGCTAGTTCGCACGCGTTTCAGTCAGCAGGAGTAAAGTCATGTTTTGTTTCAGATTATTTCTGATACACACAAACATCCGTAAATGTCCATGAAAGACCATTAAGATTTTATGACTATACAATCAGTTGTAACCCTAATGTTGGATATGTGAATAAATGATTTTTTTTATATTCGTCCTAATTTTTGTATCAGTGCAGCTACTCTGCCATTCATATGTTGCTCAGATATTAACATTCTCAGAACACTGCTGTCGTTTGTTGTTCTATTCTTGTTTCATTCAGGAAGATATACTTAATTCTAGAAAAATCATTCATCTACATGCGTGTCACGTCTTGAGGGAATGCCATACGTCTCCTTGAAATTCCTACTACTCCCTTGTGAATGAGAGTACAACTGTTGTTTTTGACGAAGATATCAACTCCCATGAACAAGCCGTCTAACATTATTAATGGTTTACTTACTTGCTACAACAACAGCGCACTGCAGCCGTCATATCACTATCTCTTCTGTCTGTAGGGTTCACATTTCAATTCAATCTGCATTCTTGGGTTGTTTTAATTCAAGGACTGTATGTAGATACTAATATCATACAAATATATTTACCTAATCTTGGATGTCATACCTCACTAACTGGCTCCAGCTTTAATCCAAAAAACCCATTATAATGACCTCTTTTCTGTTGAAGATTCCTAAAATGAATGTAATCAATGCTGTCATTTCTGTTTCATTATTATTTTTATTTACCAGTCTTTATATTACTTCTCTATTTTCTGCACAAAATTATCCTGCATTTCACCTTCGTCAATGTACACCCTGTAGTTACATTTAAGCACCACAACAGCTTGCTGAACAGCCAGGATTGTAACGTGGTCTGGTCCTTCTGATTTATTATTGGCACAATAACATAGAGACTACACTACAATTGAGTTTTGTGAACAAGCACTAGACAAATGATATTTGCCTGAAGAACGGCAAACAGATCGAGCACTATTACCCAGAACAACAATACTCTTTACATACGTGTTGTGTTGCGTAAACACTGTTTAATTTGTAAAATGGTATTGACACACTGGGAAGAGATATTTCATTGTTGATATAGTAGATAAGTTACCAACAATATACAATGTAATAGACTACTACATCTTCAGAATAAAGTGATTGTTTTTTTTTGTGCGGAATATTTATTTATCAGAGTATATATATTTATTTACACATACACAGAGAAATATTCCCTCTGAAGTGATTTCCCCGTATCTAACCTGTCTGATAGGAATCGTAGATATGCATAAATCGTAGTTCATGTATTTATTCACTAAAATGGTTGATTTGCGCTCTGTATACGTCCATGTGAATTTTGTGTCTCTATGGACGTTTCTTGCAGTCTGCCATTAATCAAATAGCAATCGTAATATCGGATGTTTTATAGTGCCAGACGATGGCTATCTCAACACCATGTCATCTCATATCGAGCCCCCGAACATCAATATACGGATTTTCAATGGCTTCTTACACCACTGAAAATGCCTTTCAATAAATCTCACTGTCTGGTTTTATTTAATTTATTTCTGTGACAAACCAAAGTCCTCTACACAACAACAGATACCAGAATTACTCAGCACGCTTCATGACTTTATTATTTCAATTTACAGAAACTTATATTTTGTATAAATGTAAGACAGAGTTAAAATTCGGGTTTTGGGATTACTTGTAATGTCCGTTTATTACTCACACTCAAATCTTGCAGACTTCAGCACCATTACAAAATGTTGATGTGTATTTTGTCAATGGGATGTAATACAATCATCAATCGTTCACGTGCTATTTTCATTTATTCACATAATCTGTTTAACACCTCACTGGCATAGACATGCGCAACAATATTAAGCTGTAAACTTATATTATTCGCTGCACGGTCCCTTCTGTTGATATAAAACATATCAAACTCAATGCCGTTTACATCATGGTGAAAAGAGCTCGTGATGCATCAATATTTTCTCGTCGAATGCACTCAGAACAGATGGCAGTTTGTATCAATTCTCTGTACGAATTGACTTTAATGTCCTTCGTTGGATAAAAAATCCATAGTGCGATTCCCTTGCAGTCCATAAATACAAATGCTTGTGCTGTAACGAGAGACAGTTTGCGCAGAATGTGAGATTTATGTTAGTCTTCATTCGTAATATTTAACG